CCCGACCCCGACAGTGGTTGTGGCGGTTGATCCCACATTGTAAACCCGACACATCCTTGCGCGATGGTGGTTGATCTCATATCTTGAGCCGGACCCCTCATTTCATGACGGCATTTGATCCCATGCCATAGCTTAAACCCCCGACCTCTTGTTTGGCGTCAGGCGATGACGCTTCATCATGGTTCAACCCACATCTTAGAGTCAGAGTCTTAGACCCTAGGCGATAATGCTTGATCTCAGGTGTCAAGCCCGACCCGTCATTCTGCAATCACGGCTGATCTCCTATCCTGAAAACGACCTCTGACTCTAACCATGAGATCATGAGAACCGCGTAGAACAGTTGAACAGGTACAGTGTACAGTATTTCCCCCATTGTTCAACTACAACAGAAACCGAAGCTAGAAAGCCAGAGCACCGCGGCAAAGGAATGGACGGCAAAAACAAAGCAACCATATCACAGAATATAATGAAGGGGGAACCGCTCCCGCTCCCTAGATTTCCGATCACCATTTGAATCCGCCACAACAAGGCCGGCCGCAGCCCACCAAGGATATCAATGCCATGAGCCCACGCCATGCCCAAACACAAGCGCCAAGCCAACGCTCGAATTGCACACATGCTTGGCTTTGCCGATCAGGCCGACAAGCAGTTTTTGGAAGCACTGATGAGGGAAACCCGAAGCTTCAATCAAAGCGTTGGCCTTTAGCTCAAATTGGTTGCACAGACAACATGGACACGGGAGCATGGCCAAAGCCGCGCCGCCAACGCTTGCCGGAGCATGATCTTCTTCATGAACACGCGGATAAAGGGCCGCGTCGAGAGAATAGCCCACAAGTCACAGGAAGTGCAACCTCCTCCGCCTGGGCCACAGCCTCCTTTATCGAAGGAGAGCAAAAATTGCGTAGCCTGCATGTGATATTTGCGGAATTTCTGACGTGCGAATGTGTTAGGCGCCGACCATGATGGAACCGCCTTTTCACATGCGCACACTGCATGCCCCCGCAAAGGTGTACGAGAAAAATCGCGGTCCCATTCATGGTGCTTCGCTTAGCCGCCCGCACCACAGCTTGAAGCTACGTTTCGGCAGAAGTACCGGCGAAACATCAAAAACTGAGAAACAAGGCAGTCCGGCGAAAGCGACCTGAACAGCACGGTGGTGGTCAAGCAATCAAGCAATCCATCAAAACCCTCACACACAGGCATGGACCACGGCGCTCTAACCACAAAACAGGGAACGTGCAGAGCTTTGCAATCAAGGCAGTGCCCCCTCAAGCCCCTCGAAAACCGGAGCTCCAAGCCACGGCTGATATGGCTGATGCACACGCTCATAAACGTGCTCGGACGCGGCGGGGACCCCCCGCGGCAGCATTGGGATATGTTTTTTGTACAGTTGCCCAGAGCCAGCACTGCCGCGGATTTCGCGAAGTTTGCAACTTGTCCTCTTATGCTCGAGTGTTTCCGGTTGGTGGGAGCCTCGTGCGGAAGCTGCCAGCTCTGAAGACAGGCACATAACATATAGCCATACAGGCCTGCCTCGATGTTGACGACGGCTCCCAGCACATATGCAGTCTCATGTGAACTAGTTGTGTCGGGTATTCTCCAGAGAGGGTAGGTAGGCTCAAGTATAAGTTTTCTGACGGTTTCTGGTCAGTGCGGTTGCGCCTCTGGCATGGTGCCAGAGTAGCACGTCAAGCATCCGGTCAAGGCTCGTGAAGAGCAGCAACGCTGAAAGGACTTGACCCATCAAAGTTCAACTAGACACACAACAAACAAGCCGAACAACTAACGTGGAGGAAGATGACAGCATCCGTGTCGCCTGCTGCAAGAGCCTACAGCTTCAGGGTGGAAAGCCAGCGCAGGTCCCACAACAGCTTGATGGAAAGCTGGCCATTCCACAAGCAGCTATTGCTGATCGAAGAAAACGGTGAACAAAAGGCCGATCCACGCCAAACACACGCATGCAACACACGAGTTCTGCAATGAAAAAGCTCCGTCCCGCTACCCGACTCCATAATGGGACATCCCTGAACTAGACGAACAGCAATATCAGATTGCAGTGGTGGCCTTCTCTCGGCAATTCGGACAACGATTCCCTCGCGCAAGGTGACTGGCCTTGGACAGACATGCTGCGGCACTTGGGTGTGAAACCTAGTCCACCCGTCCACCTTTCGCCGGTCATCTGTTCTCCGCTGACTCGATGCGGTGTCGACTCCGCGGCAGCTACCTGGGAAAATGTCATGCTCTGACAAAACAAGTGAAAATTGGACATATGCAGTATCAACGCAGCATCAAGATGCTATCACATGCTAGGAGCTATCACATGCGGATGTGTGGTGCACGGGCACATGACTTGTCAGGATACCAGAGGTCAGAACAGGAATGCTCTCAATCCAATTGAAGACAAACGTGCCACGCTGCCGGCAAAGGAACAGGCACATGCCCCTTGAAGGAGTTCGTGCCCAAGCTCGCACCGGTGCTTTGCACCAGACGATCATCTGCTGCCGTAACCAAAGATTGGGCATTGCGAAGAGAAGCCTGAGATCTCGCCACACTGAGATGGTGTTCAAATCACAACGAACATGCCGTTCAGTCATCCATGTTGTTGCTGCGCCGAAGGCATCAAAGGAGCCGCATCTTGTAGGCCTGGCGATTGCACCGATCTTCCCGCTTCCACCACCACTGACCTTCGAAAGCCGAGCAACTCAAGGCTTGTGATCAGAAAACTTCCATCTTGCTGCTCCGAAGATCCACTGAGCCTGGATGTTGGCAGCGTCTGTACCTGGCACCATGGCATGAGACTAGCAGGCAAGCTGTTGGGTAACCAGACTTTGCCGACTCGGGCTGGCATCCTTGTTAGCATCTTACAGGCAACAGGTGACTGAAGGGCTCCGAGCCCAAAGGATCCGGCGAAGACCTCTGCGGTGCTTCGCAGGGTTCACCATCCTGTCCCCTTTGAATCGTTCTGCCGTGAAGAAATCGCGGAAGGCATGGCGAAGCTGTGCAATAATGTTGGTCTCGATGTCACAACCTCCTTGCAGACCTCCAAGAGGTTACTGCCAGGGGCATGCTTCCGGTTCGCTACCACGGAACTCCTGAAGAAGTTCATCTGTTGTTACCGGGAGCTACATGCACGAGGTTGACCGAGCATTGACATGGCATGAGCAGGACAGAGCCAGGCTCAAGACTTCAAGGTCTACTTGACAAGTCCCTGCAGATCTCAGTCGAGGAGGCGAAGTGTGTTGAGAATCTGCAACGTTGAACTGCAGATTCGCTCCTCGCCACAAGCAAAAACCTGTCGAAGATAAGCTCGGGATGCAAGAGCATGCCCGGGCGATTTGCCTGCATGTACTCGTGAACGCAGATAGTCTCAGACCGACTCAAATTGGTCTGCCATTTCGATAGAAGAGTGGCGCCGTGCCACTGTTTCCTGGGTAAGAGGACCAGCAGCCCTTGTCAAAATACATCATCTGTGTCAGAGCAGTTCCGATCAGTCCCGACCTGAGCTTCGTCTTGCTGCAAACAACTAAGTGAGGCTCGTCCACGAGAAGCTGAGAGTGGATGGTCCGGGCTTTCAGACTGTGCTGTGATCGAAGTACTACGTATTCAGGGCTTGCAACTCGACGTGCTCGGCAAGACGCCCTGAACCAAATCCGAGAAGCACCCCCTTTGGGTGTTCGTTACAAATTGCTGATTCGGCTTAGTGATGGGATGCTCCACGTGCCCTTTGGCCACACACTTCGAAGGGCGCGTACAAACCTGTACAATTTTTCAATCAGGAAGGCTTCGGCAACCAATCTTGTAGGCAACATCTTCCATCACTGCATATAAGAAGAGATGCTGACAAGCAAATGATATACCGTGTCTTTCTAGGCTCGTAATCGTCGAGTGACGTGAATGGAGTCTCGAAGCTGGCTCAAAGCAGATGACACGCTGGCGCCTCCCGGCCAAAGGCAATGAAGTGGGCGCCATTTACTGTCCTGGCTCCGGGCAATTGGGGTCGAAGTCCTCTGGAAACGCAGAATCACGGAACCTCGAGAGCGGGGACGCAGCACGCACCGGGGACCGTGGTGATGCAGCCGATGCAGCGACTGATCCGCCTCGATTCGGCAGACATGTGCGAAACTCCCTATGCAACCTTCGCGAATGCCAGACTTGTACAAACATATCTGAGGCTGCATAGCTTTGCCTTGCACCGGCGTAGAAGTCGTCGCCCTGCAGGTCAGGCCTCTGAAAACAAGATCCACGAGACAAACATGTAATCCCTTCCCCCTAATACTAAACGGGAGAGGGTCCCCATCCCCCCAACAAAAACGCGGAAAATGCTTGTATTGTATGGCGGTATTTTTATCTCTACTGTCACTGTTGAGGGATCTTGCTCTTGCTCCTGCTCCTGCATCGCTTGCTCTCGCTCATGTGCTTGCTTTTGCTCTTGCTATTGCTTCTGCTCTTCCTCTTGCTTGTGCTCGTACTCTTGCTCTCACTCCTGCTCTTGCTTTTGCTCTTGCTCTTGCTGTTACTCCTGCCCTTACTCCGGACCCCCTATGAAAATTAGGTTTTAAAGGGCAGGGATGATTTCGGGAGGATTGGCCCCAAAGTGTTTTTAGTATTAAGTAGTGGAGTGTTTACTAAATCGGGGAAGGGATTTGCCGTGTACTTTGTATGGCTTTGTGTCATACTATCGCAAAACGTGGTGTGTGTATACATACATACATACATACATACATACATACATATATATATATGTATATATATATATATGTACATACATACATATACATACACATCGGTATTTGTGTTGTGCTGGGTTCCTGTAACGCATCGTTGGCGCATGTCAAGTTTAGGAAGTGGAATGCCGCGACGAATTCGACCGGACGTATATACATGATGCTATCAAAAGTTGGTACGGCAGCTTAGATGCTTTTTCCGAATATGTTCGCGGCCCTTTCCGGGATGAAGTGTATCTTCATTTTCAGCTTCCCCTTGTTTACCACGGCATCATCATGACCCCATTGACAGCATTTTGTCTGGATTTTGTTGTGGCAATGGTCAAGTCCAATGCACCGGCTGGAGACGTGATGGCTTACATTTTGGGTTTCATGGTGGCCCAAAATATGCTATGGTATCCTGCTACCCTGACTCTTCTCATCTATGCCTGCGAACACTTGCCGGCAAGCGCTTTCAAAGGAAATCGGTATTTGCAGACTTTGGCGATATCGGGCGGCTTGTGGTTGCTGTACGCGCTGGGACTTGCTATTGCCTTAAATGCCGCCGCCTCCGAGCGTTGGTGGGAAGCGCCTCTGTGGACGGTGGCGGCGTTGGTGTTTGCTATTGTTTCGCATCCTTACTACCTAGCAGAGTTGGTAGCCTTCAATCATAGCATTTTGGTCTCCACAGATTTTCAAGATACTAGAGGTTAAGGTTTTGTTTCGACTACCCAGGTATCGGTGTTGCTGGCGGCAGAAGAACCGGAGCTGCGCCTCTTGCATCGCGGAGGGAATTGCTTGACGTGGGTCAGACGGTGTGAGCATCGGGTTCAAGACTTTTGAAATTTTGAAGATCTGCAAGATTTTTCGCATCAGCAGCAGCAGGTCGGGCTTGACCACTAATGCTGTAGCAGCCTCAACCTTTGTGTGTGCCTGCGCGAACTTACCTCGAGTTTGAGTTTATGCTCTATAGTACATGTCCGCCACCGCGCCACTCGTCGTCACATTGTGTGGCGCCCTTCAGCTAACGCCAAGCGTTCATGCTGGGAACTATAGGACTGCTAAGAAAGCCAGCATGCTCAATACGGGCTTCTGCATGCATGCAATCATGTACCTGTGTAAATGTGCGTATCTGTGTATTCATGCATGTTTGCATGTACATGTTGATGCATGCAGTTTATGTCATACGGGTACATGTAGTGACAATGTAGTGTACGTACTGTTTGTGATGTATTCTGTAGTGTATGCAGTGAAGGGATGTGTTTGTTTGTGTATGCATGTATGCACCCATGCTTACTTATCAAAAAAGACAGCATTTAATTCGCGCATGTGTTACATGTATACATACGTACATACTTACTCACTCACTTTTTTCACTTATCTACTTACATGTGCACTTACATACTTGCTTGCTTGCCTGCTTACATACTTACCGACATATACATAGATGACACAGGGACAAAGACAAATAGACTCATACATGTTTGATCAGCATGTACGCGCATGCTGGCCAACCGCGCGCCGAGCCGCGCTGCGCACGTCACTAGCTCACCTTAAAAGGATCAAGAGTCAAGCGACATGATGTAGGGGTTTCGAGTTTGGTCTTCGGGGCTGCGTTCTTAATGGTTGACGGGTCAAGGGGACCAACAGAGGGGCGATACTGGGAATCATGTACCGACTGCGCGGCCCCCTCGGTGTCTTCCGGCTCGGAGAGTCGTGTGCGACTCCAGAGGGTTCCAAGTCTTCCGCACGCACCGAGCCAGTACGCGGACCTGAAACAACGGCCAGCTGTAGGCAGGCGGTTCCAGGACATATCTCGACACCGCCAGAGCTGTCCCAAAGCACGGACCTACTGCAGAAGGGCCTAGCTTTCCCTGTCGTCGATCAGGCTTGGGCCGGCAGGGAATCCATGGATGTCGTCTCTGTGGTCGGGGTGGCGGTCCCAGATATCGATGATCACAGAAGCTTGGGGTTGATGGTTCTTTGGCCATCTTTGGCGCACTGAACTTGGTGTCTCAAGGTCGTCATACATGACTTGCACAGCTTTGGCCTCCGCTCGCCTTGGCCAACTGAGGATACCGACGGCGCAGGCACGCCAGTCCGTGGAGGCGAACTTTGTGTGGAGGAGTGCCCGCAGCTGCGTAGCTCATCCCCAGAGAACGTCAGTATGGAGGCAGGAAGTTGAACCAACCCGGACTGCCTTGGCTGTTATGTCTAGGTAAAGAGTGAAGGCACGGCAAGGTGGGACCGACTATGGCTGGCCCTTCGTTGGTTTTTCGCAACTACATATTAAAACTGTGATACAATTCGATACCCCCTTGCCGCGGAAGACTGCGAGTCTCGGCAAGGGCCTACTAGTAGCCTTCAAATTTCAGAGCACCTTCACAAAGCCCTAGAAAGTTTGCCGATGTGTACCACCTGCCCGCTCGTTCAACGCAGCCCAGGGCTACCAGAAAGTGTCTCACCGTTCGAGCGACCTGGGGCTCATGGGCTTAGCCGTTCAGGGTTCAATGTCGGGATGTAGCATTCGCAAAAGTTAAAAGTAGCTCTATTCGCTGCATGCCCAGGTGGGTCGGGCTCGGGGTGCATGTAGAGATAGATGCTGCAGCTCACACGCACCACTCTCTGACAAACAGCATCCTCACCTCACCTGTGGCCCTTGTCCCAGACGCGAGGGCTCTACCTACAGATGTTCGGAGAACACGTTCACAAGTTGACTTTCTACAGGCAAGGGAAAGGGCCGCACAAGGGCTTGCGCTGCGGAAGTAGCACTCGCGGAGATGTCGCGATGGCTGGTTTCACGAAATCTGCCGTCGAGGATTCAGATGCTCTTGCTGTGGCAGCCGCTTCCCTTAATGTTCGCTCTTGATCAGGTGAATATAGGGCATTCCTGCATCAGTATGGGAATCCGTCTAGTGAACCTGCAACACCCCAGATCCTAACTTGCTTGCATTCCGCGTTCAGTCTTTTCTTCGGGACCTAGGCTCACCACAGAAGCAGGGCTCAAGCAGAGCCAGGTTTCCGAGCAGTGAAAGAGCTGGCCACATTTGAAGGCGGTCACCGTAGTAAGATTTTTGTTTGTGAGAATATTTCTGCAAGCCAAACTGTCCTGACAAGCCTAAATTGCAGGGTTCAGAAAGAAAGTGATGCTAGTAGAGGCCCCCAGGAATGGGATCAAAGAATTGTCAGGGCCATCTTGCACAAAACCCCGCCGACACCGACCTTCCTTGGACTTGTCCAGGCTCTGTGAAGCAGGAGTTGCATTAAGGATCCCCAGTGGTCCCTGAACCTCTCCTGGATACATGAAACAACAACGAGGGTTTACCGACGCAACTGCATGAAACGAGAATCCGACAGGCTTCTGTTGATTGCACAGCCTTGGGCTCCAGGCACCATACCCGCATGTGTCCTTGTTCTAGCTCAGAACAAAAGTGAGCTCCTGTTACTTCGAGTCTCTTGCTACCCTACAAGGGGACAACAAGCTCCAGGTGAAGAAGCACTGCCAGAGCAAGCTGGATGCTGTAAATGCTCAGCTCGATGCGGTTTGGTGTGGACTTCTGCAGCAGGACGGTGTTTTGCATTGCCCTTATCAAATTCATGTTGTGACAAGTGCCCCACATCAGATTCACCTTCGTCACCGCCATGTTCATGATTTCAAACCAGCACAATGAACAGCAATCTAAATAGTTCGCGGCACATAGGATGCAAATGCGGCACGCAGAGCGCAATCGTAGCGTTCTCACGGCATTGGTCTATAATGAAAGCAATCTGCGTAAATGCCGTCTCACGTTGTTGCCACAATTTGGCATGTTCTCATGTTTCTAGCTGGCGTGCTGGTGTTGCCGCTGTTGATGTTTCTGGCACTGGTGGCGTTGCTTTGCTTTGCTGGTGCTGCTAGTGATGCAGCTTTCAGCGTGGCTTTTGTTGCCACTGCTGCTGTTGCTGCTCTTCTCTGCCAGATCCGACTCTTCTGGTTATCTGTAGTTGAGCTAGTCTATGTAGGAGTCTAGGTGTTCATGATCAGCATTTCTTGTTTGTCATTTTCTTCAAAGTGAGTCAGACTGTAGTTGTGGCCGCAGCTGTCGTGACCAGCGCCGTGTATTTATAGTCGCATTGCTAGTCGGACCAGTTGTGTCGGTAGCAGTCCACTCGCCAGCTGTTGGGGGTGCCGGCAATGGTGGGTGTTATTTGGTGGATGTGGGTAAGGGTGCTGCGAGTATTGAGTAGTGTTGTTGGTCGTAGCGCGTTGCAGGGGCAACAGTCGTGGCAGCGATGGTACTGTAGCCCTGGTTGGAATAGTGAACAGATGTGAACAGTCGTCATTTCACATGCCCCCATCCAGGTGGCTCAGGCGGAGTTCGTCGCAACGGTTGCAGAGGCTATAAAAAGCAGAAGTGTCCTACGCCTCATCGATGCCACCGTGCGCTTGAACTCCGCGGGAACCCCCGTCTCAGCTCTTCTGCAACGCTTGGCGTTCCAGGCCAGTGTTTTGGAGGAGGCAGGGCTGGTATGGAAATCCATCATGGACGCCGTCCTCGAGCGAAAGGCCGAGGATGTTGAGCTCTGGGCAGAGCAAGCGAAGATCGCAGGCGAAAATGTTGAGATGGAGCTGGCCTTTGCGCAGAGCCTGCGCCAAGCAGATGCTTGCTCGCACCATTAGATTCTGTCTTGTTCCGTGCGATGCCTCTTCAGGCGTGCAACAGGAGGCCTGACCTGCCCCCTTAATCCGAAGGACCAGGATTACTTTCAACATGGGCTCTATACTTGTAAGCTCCACTGAGGAAGAGAGCAGCATGCACTCCTTTTCAAAAGCTTCCACCTGCAGCGACACGAGCTTGACAGAAGTGGGAGTTGATGAAGGCTCTGCGCGGTGAGGGATGAGATCCTCACCTTTAAGGTTCTTACTAAGCTGCGGGTTTGCGCGTCATGCAGCGTACGCGACGCGAATTCGAAAACTCGAAAATGCGAAAATTCGAAAATTTGGGCATTTTTCGAAAAGTAGAAAATTCGAAAATTCGAGTTTTCGCTTTTTTCGGTTTACATCAATTTTTTTTCCGAATTTTCGGCTTTTCTGGTTTTTCGCTTTCCAGTCACCGTTGCGTACGCGACACACGGCAATTCGAAAACTCGAAAATTCGAAAGTTCAAAATTGGAAAATTCGAAAATTCAAAAATTCGAAAATTCGAATTTTCGCATGTTTCGGTTTACACCAGATTTTTTGAACTTTCGACTTTTCGGGTTTTTCGCCTTCCAGACACCGTTGCGCGCGCGACACACGACAATTCGAAAATTCGAAAACCCGAAAATTCGAAAATTCGAATTTTCGCGTTTTTCCGTTTCCACCAGATTTTTCGAGTTTTCGACTTTTCGGGTTTTTCGCTTTCCAGTCACCGTTCAACCCTAAACCCTAAACCCAGACTGTGCAGCACAGTCTGCTCGGACCGCGCCGTGGTCGGCTCGACGCTGAACTTTTTGGCGTCTCTTGCGGCGACTTTGAAGGAAGGCCAAGTAAGAAAGAGGTTTGCACATGTATTAAATGGGCACTTCTCTAAATTATGGTCCCTTTTTTGGGCCCCAATATAGAGAACTACCCAAACACTCGTGCTTTTCAGGGTTCCTTATCAGACTTATACTTTTCCGTACCCCGAAACCCACTTATACAGAATAATAATGGCCGCCAAGTACCCTGAGGCCCTAAGGAACCTCCTAGAGAGGGTCCGGTGCCTTTTGGAAGCCAGGCCAGGGTTTGTTTGGCGCATCATGAGGGTTTAGGGTTCAGGCATTTAGGGTTTAGGGTTTGGC